AAGGAAGATGCTGCAGATCAGTTCAAAAGATAACAGAAAAGCACGAAAGCTCAAAATATTTTACTTGTTCAATGTATTTTACTTACTTTTACCTAAGTCTTATTAGAAATAAATCTTAACCTCCCCGTTTCTGAGGTCACAGTGTATCATTAGCCTTGAGAATCCAGGTCCAGGCACGGAAATATTTTCTACTTGTCCTACCACAGATGTTATGGAATGGCTTTTTTGTGGACCGTTGCAAAGTGTAGTGGTGCCACTTAAAATAATTTCCTACTATATCACAACAGATGAAAAACACAGAAGACTTTCTGACCCTAATAGAGAGTAGATTACAAGAACTGTTGTCTGCAAAACTGTTTTGATATTAAGATGAAAAATAATGGGGCTGTCAACCTGAGAAAAGACTTCTTGTCAGCCTAGTGCAGAAAAGCACATTATAGGTGGGACAACAACAACTGTTATTTTACATGGGAAACAATCCAATGATGTTCTTACTTTGTTTGTAGTGAAGTAGATAATGGTAATACTTTTGCCCCGTTTTAAGTCATTACTGCCTTTGTGCTTATTCTTAATTATGTATTTTGAGCCTGTGAATCTGTCTGGCTAATACTGAAACTGTCACTTTCATTAGTGGCAGATGGAACTTATGACACTTTCACAGTGAGCCTACTTCAATATTAATTCAAAAAGGATTTTGAACTTTTATCAGGGGAGATGTGGAGACATTTGTCTGAAGGCAGGATTTTAGTAGCTGACGGGGGGGGTGTCAGATGGTAGCTTGCTCTTGACCTTTCACTGCTGTGAGTACCTGAAAGTGTAGTATAGAAGTTCTTTCTGTCACACACACAGATACTCACAAAAAGACACATGGGCAAAATGGTGTGAGGAAAAGCAGTAGAAAGCTATTTCAAAGTCATACCGTACACAGTCCATCAGTTGCTAGAGTTATTTAAGGAAGTGTTGACATAAATGCTGCATTTGGCCTCTGATCTTTTAATGCAACCTCCTTCCTTTCCTTTTCAATGTGTGTATTTATGTGTGTTTTGCTCTTCTTCTACAGTGGCTTGGAGAGTTTTTTTTTCTCCAAGGAATGGAAGTCACTACTTCATTACAAAAAGCCTAAAGGAAGATCCATTGCCATGAGTTTTTGGACCCAGATACATGGTGGGAGAAAATCAGGTTGTAGGAGGGGAGAGAGGACTCAGAAGTAATTAGCCTTCTTGAAAAAGTGTCTTCGAGGGATTCTTAAATTAGACGTACAAAGCGATCAATTTTATGAAAAATGAGGCTTCTGTGAATACTTATGGCTAGTTGGGCTCTCTGAGCAGTGCTGGTCACACTCTTTGATCTTAGAGATGGAGCAGTCAGGAAGCCTTGCCAGCTGGAACACCAGGCGAGTGAAGTCCTTTTCCCTGTACTGGGAAATGAACTGAGGCAGCAGAGAGGAGTGCTTTGGTTTAGACAAAGAGAGCCTTGGCACTGTGCTTAAGATAGCTTTTTTTCTTTTAATTTTCCTGGCAAAACTAAATACAGCACAGCAAAATAGTATTTTCTGACAGGTTTTGGGCTAAGTTCACAACTACAGCTCCAGTCTTATGGCAGTGTAACTTAACTGATGATTTCCAACAGTGCAGTAGTGGAAAAGTTGAAGCAGCTAAGTTATGTGCTAATGGCATACGATTATATAAGCTAAGGTTCCAAAAATGTAGCTTTCAAGTAGGTGGAGATTCTGGAGTGAGGGTTGCCTGAAAGTCTTGTCCTCTTACTGTAGACTGTATAATCTATAGCAAGTAATGGGTCCACCTTCTCCAGTTTGTTTATTATGGATTTTTTCCCCCAGACATTGCTGATTTTAATGCAGTCTCAAGAGCTACTGTTTTTGTTGTGTTGTGCTCCTTAGCTTACCTACTTTGAGCAGTCTGCTTGTGTATCCGTGATTTTACAATCTAGCTGTTTTTCGATGTAGATGCTTGAATTTTAATCTCCTTAAAGGTAGAGGGTATGGAGAGCACTGGGAAGGAGGAGAGCCCTGAGGAATTACATAATGGAAAACTGTCATGGTTTAAACCCCAGCTGGCAGCCAAGTACCACACAGCTGCTTGCTTGCTTGCTTGCTCCCAGCCTCTCACCCCCCAGCTCTATGGGATGGGGAGGAGAATCAGAAAAAGCTAAAACCTGTGGGTTGAGATAAGAACAGTTTAATAACTGAAATAGGTAAAATAGAACAACAATAATAATAACTGTAATTAAAAGGGAGATAATAAAGAGAGAAATAAAACACAAAAACAAGTGATGCACAATACAATTGCTCACCACCCACTGCTCTCCCCATTTTATATACTGAGCATGACATGCTGTGGTATGGAATACCCCTTTGGCTACTTTGGGTCAGGTGTCCTGTCTCTTCTTCTTCCTGGCTTCCCTTGCTCCTCCTCACTGGCAGAGCATGAGACTGAAAAGTCCTTAAACGGGGTAAGTGCTACTGAGCAACAGCTGAAAACATCGGTGTGTTATCAGTGTTGCTCTCAGAAAAAAAATCCAAAACACAGGACTGCAGCAGCTGCTAGGAAGAAAATTATTAACTCTATCCCATCTGAAACTAGGAAAAAAACAATACAGATTGGCACAAGCTCAGGGTGCCTTGGTGCACTACAAACCTTCATTGTGTGATGCTGCATAGAGCTGGAAGGATGTGATGTGGGTTCTGGACAGTGTTTCAAGTCTGTCCTATGTGATTCTGATTTTTTTGGAAGACACCAGAATGTCAGCTGATGTTCTCTATTTTGGAAGCATTGTTGTGAATATAGATGTCTGACATTTTTTCTTTCAGGTTTCTATTCTCTCCAATTTTCTGTCATCTTCCTACTGGTTATGCAGTTTGGGTAGGGTGACTGAAACAATCCAGAGATTTCAGTCTGAGGAAAACCCTTTAAAATGGCTAGCAATTCTGTGGAGCTTTAAGACCCATTTGCTTCTACCAGGAGGATTTAGCATCTCCTGTCAAATGGACTAGAAATCCTGTGATGCCATCCTTGATGACAGCAAGCTGGTTGATGTCCTTATTGCTTTAGGTATTCCTCAGAGCTTTCTCTTTGTGAGGAAACAGCCTGCTGGAAAACAATTAAGCAAAGTAGCTCATCCTAACATGCTATTTGTGGACAGGATCATAATCTAGTGGATATTTCAGTTTTGCTCTTGGGAAAAATTTTGGGGAGGTGTAAACCATTCTTTCCTAAGGAAGCTTATGCTTTCACCTGACTATTACCAGGGATAATTAAGCTAATGATGGATTGCATCTTAATGGAAGCTGTATATCTGTCATGAAGCACTCCCCTCAGATATCTCATATCTTTTGTAATCTCTTTATTTTTATCTCTTTTTAAAAACAATTTATTATACCACCTTATTATGGAGTCTAGTTATTATTGCATAATTTGAGATATCAATAGGGTTACACAATTAATGTTTAGTTTTCCATTCATTATATTATTAGTATAAACCCTGGAAAACATAGATTTTCTTTTAAGGCCAGCAGGTTGTTCTCCATGCCCACAGCCTAAGTTTTATAATGTTATAAAGTTTTTAACTACTTCAGATTCCACAGATGATGGTTACAACAGGGCTTGTTAGGTAGCTGGTGAAAAATCACCCTTCTTGTCACAACTCCCATTTCTTCCCTTCCTTCACTGCAACCTTTACAGTTTGTGCGTCTTTGTATCTGTCATCTGTGTCAAGGAAACAGGTTTTGAGTAAATACAAGCTGATGTATCAGTATTTTTAGAGAGCAATTATTAGCTAATACATGGAGCACTAGACTGAAATTCAGGAAATGCAAAGTCATTGACAATGAAGCTTTACAATGGAAGTGGTAAAATTGATTATGCATTACATATTTATTGTGTTTGATTTTAGACAAGGTCAGGCTGGTGCATTAATTTCCACATCATTGCCAACGTCAGAAATTTCCACTGGCAAGGTTACATAGTTATCCCATGTCTCCCACATATACAGCCCTGATTATGCAAATGAAAGCCTCATCTATGTGTTATTTGTGGCTTTATCCATGATGTTTATTTATTCTATGTACTATGCTTTTATGGTTTGAAGAACTAGCAGCCTATAGCCCTGGGCAAAGAACGACAGAGATCAAAGAGGAGGCACACTCTCTTCCTGAACTGTGACTTCTGATTCCTTAAGTGGCTGCTGTAGGTACTTAACAAGTTTAAATTACTGCTGAAAGGCTGACTTGAATGCAGTTGGGGTGTCATTAAAATGTACTAATGGCTTATGATTTTCATTGTGTGGCAACAAGGTGTATTGCTGGAAGGCCTGTGACCTGTGTCCTCTGCAGTCCAAAGACTATTACATAGACTATTTTATAGACTATATAGACCATTTTATTTTATTTTATTTTATTTTTTAAGCTAGAGTTTAGGGTAAGGTCTGAAAAATAGACCTAAGTTGTCTCTGTCTGTAAAAGGTGTCTAATGCAGAGCAGCTGTTGACTGTTTATACATGACAGGGCCTGGCAGGGTGGAATATCCTGTTTTGAAATTGGGCCCTGTTACACCTGTAACTATGACTGTGAGTCTGCACAGATGCACTTAATTGTCTTCAGTGGGACTGGGATTTATGGTTTGCCTCAGCAGGTGAAATTGAGGCAGTGTGGTGATGTGTCAGAATTTATATGTTCAAACAAATAAAACATGCTTTCTTTATGTGTAGCTATGCTTTTCAATGCATGCAGGAGTAGAAAGTACATCAAGAAGTCAAATCAGCAAGGATGACTCGGAATGTTCTTGGAGAGTAGGTATGCAGTGAGCGGATGCTATTTTTACGCAGTATAATTGTTTTGCATAGGAATGCAAGGTTAGCTTTGCTGAAGGCGAAGGTGTGGCTCAGTGTTCACATTGCTTCAGCATTTGTACCTACCTTGTGTTTGCAGCTGCAAGTATGGGAATGTGCAGCCTCCTGGTGCTTCAAGAGGGTGGGAGGTCTCATCTATTTAGCACTAAGCACTCTGGGTCCTGGGGTTTGCATGTATGGAGTTGCTTTACTTAAGAACACAAGAGTACACGTAGTGTGACTTGTGATTGCAAAAAGGGCAGCCAGTGTTTGTGTGTCATTTGTTAAAGGCTCTTTTGGGTGGAGATCTAAGGTGAGTTTAGAATGAAACCTGTCTGAAAGGATTGTCTTGGAGCTTATTTTGGAGAAGGTAGGAGGTTGATGTGTTCTGTTTTCATGAGGAAGACATTAATAAATGAAAGTTAAAAATGATTATTTGCTTTCTACTGCAAACTATCTCTTGCAATTACAAAGTCTTCAAAATTTAATATCTGAAAACATAAGAAAAATAATTAATTACTTGGTGTTTTTTTATGCTTGCTAATAAGGGAATTTCACCCAAGAAATTGCCTCTTTTTTTTTTTTTTTTAACCTTTTTCGGAAGCCTTGTCAGCTGGCTTGATGGAGAATCCATTTTACTGTAGCTCTCTGTATTGCTGCTTCTTGAAAGCTGTCATTGAAGCAGGAAAGCCTGGACTGCTCTCTGCTAGAGATGGGAGAACAGTTGATGGCTATAGCGATGAGATGATGTGGCCTGCTAACAGTAATTTCTGTAGTATAAGCAGAGTGGTGCAGTTTTGAGGGGAAAAAAAGACTAGGCACAGGCAGTTCTTTGCCTTTCATTAAGAATGATATTTCACATATATTCTATTGACTCAAAGCTACTCTGAAAACACTGTAGGTGGAATAATGATTCCTTTCTCTTCCCTTCCCCCTCTTTTCATTACAGTTAAGTAATGAACCCTAGACTGAGAAACTGTAGCTGCAGGGTCATGTGGCTTACCTGGTAGATCTCTTACCAGAAATGGTAGCCACTTTGTGACTAGGCCCACTACATGAAAGAAGCAATGGTAGGTGAAGCCTTTCTCTGTCAAAGTCCCTGTGCGTTTGGAGTGGAAGGCATTCCTCTTGCACTGACTGGCTAGTTGGAAATGGAAAAGGAACATACTGGCTTGGGATGCTTAGCCCTTCAAGACACTGATGGTGAGACTGACTTTGTAACAAAATACCTGGGCCATTTGCTTGTAAGAATAAAAATAAACGCCTAATGTTTGAGAGCTTGAGACATCCCCTTGTTTAAACAGCATAGGTCAGAGTCTGTAGAGCTGATTAACCCTTTCTGTTCTGATAATAAACCATACTCTTTCCTGTATTAAAGGAGACTAGATATTGCTTACTAATTCTACAGAATGTGCAGAGGAAAACAGACTTGCTGTGGTTAAGATTCAGACTTGCTTTTATTGAGTCAAGTGCCTGTAAACTAGTGTTACGTTTGTTTTAGACTGTTGCTCATAATTTCTGTGTATTTTCACTGAATTAGTGTGTAGCTGTCTCTTCCCAGTCTGTACTAAAGCTCACTTGTTCTCTTTTGCACTGAAACAGCAGAGAAGTGCTCAGGCAAGTACAGAGAGCAATTCACTGAGTATGTTGCCAAAGTACTGGTACAGTTTACAGCTCTTGATTCATCAAGGAAGAGCTTGGTCTTCCCTGGAAACCTAACACACCCTTGGTATTCTGTTTAAAGAAGGTTTTCAGATACTGTCCAAAGAGAACAAAGCCTCCAGAAAGGCTGTGAGGAATTGTCTGAAAATTAAGGTTGGAATTCCATGTTAAATGGACATTTTGTCTTGTAGAGTGAACATGCCTGACACTAGTTAATTTGAGGTCCTGCTGCATGTACATAGTCCTGAACTGGTGAATTCAGTGTAGATGAATGATGTATGAAGGTAAGCATGCTGAATTTACAGCTTAATTTAAACACAAGTACATGCATTACTGAAGGAAAAAAAAAAGCATGTGAGTTTCTATTCTGCAAAACTGTGATAGTTATTTTATGTGAACCCTCAGAACTTGGCCAATATTTAACTTAGATGGTGATCTTGCATTCTACAATCCCTCTAATTTTGCTGTACTAGGCCTGAGTTAAGTCTGAAGTGTCTTGGTTTGTTTGGGGTTTTTTGTTTGATTTATTTTTTTAGCTCTGATACTGCACACATGTGTGATAGCTTTAAATTAAGTAGTCTGCATATGGCTAACAATTTAACTAGGAGATTATAAAAGTACTTTGCATGTTTGAGCAAATAGTGGATAACTTGTGAAACTCTATAGAATTGGTGCTCCTGTGCTCTATGCCTAAGCTGATTTGTCAAATTGCACATTTAAGAATCTGGCTAAATGCCAGATGCCGCCTAAATGTAGTGAGGGGAGACCTCTTAATGTCTATAATCTAGCTGTTTGCAGCTTCTTAAACCAAGCAAGACTGAAGCAAGAAGCTCTTTTTTGCAAGTGCATCCTTAATTTTTATCCTGAATAATTCCTGGTCATTTGTTTAATGGATACTTTGTGAAAGTCATTATTTATTAGATATCTGTAGAAAGCAGAAACATTCCGGAAAAACTGCACTGAACAGACCTTATGTGCGAAGAGGTGTGATTGAGGTTAGACTGTACAGCTGTTGGCCATTATAAAGGCAAACTGCTTAAAGTACCTCATGCACAGAAGGCTGCAGAAATGAGGGAGTGCTTTGTCACTGGACCTGTGGCAACCTGGCAGAAGTACCTTTCTGAAAGCACTGTTTGGCTGCAAAGAGTGTTTTGCAGAGTGACTTTTCAAGGGATATAAAGATAGAGGGAAGTAAACCTGACACAATCAAATGTATATTGTAACTAGCATCTTATATCAATTAATGTTGAACAAATGATGTTATGCAAGTTGTGTAGATGAGACCAAACACATTAGACTTTTACTTTTTCCTGAAATCAAGAATTATAGAGCTGTATATAATTGCTTTGTTAGTGTTTTAACTGGTACATATTTGTACCTGAAACTGTCCTCTGGTAAAGGAAAAGTTTATGTATCCAAATCTTCTCTATTAAAGGAGATCTCTGTTAAATTGACACTTTTTGTGTGTTTCTAAGCTGGAAGGAAAGAAAAATTATCAGTGATGACATATATAAATCTCAAATCATTGGCAGTTTATTCTAGTGTCATGCACAGTTGAGAGGGAGTCAACACATGATAATTTAAAACTCTTAAATAAAATTGTAGCACTAATTTGTATACTGAAGCAGCACACCTTGCTTGGAGATATATAGAACAAAGTTTAAGAACTCAGCAGTACAAAGGATAGAAAACCTGTAATGTAGAATACAATTTCTAAAATGTCTCAAGAGATACTGATGAACAAAATAGTGCACATCGGCGGCTGTTAAAAAGTGGTATTGATGACATAGCCTCAGTGGCATGCACGCTCCACAATCAAAAGCTTCTGTTGAGACTTCTGTTCTCTCACTTTTTTTTTTTTCTCCTGTTAATATTTTTCAAGGGCATGATTGTCAAGTTTCTGAAGTCGTGGCCTGCAATGAGGGGACTTTGAATCCCATCTATCCAAGTCGTTCATTTTATTTAGTAAGTGAGCAAGATTATCACTTCTTGGACTTGATGGTTGTATGAACAACTGAAGAATGTTTATCCTGTTAATATATATTTTGTGTGATGATGTTTTGAAGATACTGAGACCTTACACATATTATGCTGTGGGACAGATGACCTGTATGGTTTAGCAGTTTAGGTACTGAAGGCAAACACAGTACTGTGGAGACTACAAATGAATGAAATTTGACTGGGACTACAGCTTTGTCTCTCAGACTCAATTTAAACATGGATTTTAACAGATGGACAATCCTAGCTGTTTAATAACTTGGACTTCTTCCCAAATAGTGTTGTCAAGGAATAAATGAATAAGGTTAATTTTTTTTTTTTTTTTTGGGGGGGGGGGGAAGAGAGTGAGCTAATTGGAAAATTTGTACTGAAAAAAGGGTTGCTTACCTAACCGTTGCTCTCCAAAATCTGGAACTTTCAAAAAATAGACATGTACCACCAAATATAGAAAGTGTCATGATAAAAGCAATGTAACATTTGACATTAAATAATTCCTTTCTCTGCAGCTGTTATGCACTCAACTTCCTCCCTTTGAAGTTTATATTGAAACTTTAAATGGTTTGTATGGAAGTACTAGAGGAGCACATCATCCTGAGCAGGACTGAGACTTATTCCCCCAAAACCTAATCCTTGCCCTATCAATTCTGTATAGTTTTGTTCTTCCAACTGAAATTAGACCAGTATTTATTTTCTTTAATCATTGCTTTTCTATGTATGTAGTAAGATTTCTTGTATAGCTATTTGTTGTTATGCAGAGTTTAAGTATTACATGTTTGATTAGGCCACTAGTTAATCTCTCCAGTTGTTTGAGATGAGGTTGTCTTTCTGGCCTTACAGTTTTTGTGTTGTCCACAGTTTGCAAAGCTTTCACTGAAGTAATTCCGCATTCTTCCAAGATGTGTCATAGTCAGTGTAGTCACACATATCAGAGACAAGATGTTAATTAATTTAGCAAGTAGCTGTTATTTTGAGATGTCAGTAAAATCGTGTACCTCTTAAGAAGGATTTTTTCTTGATTTACTCCTATCTCCTTCAAGCCATCCGGCTCTCTCCCTGCTTCCACTAAATGTTAGGAGCTAATATATACTCCTGGAGAGACACATTGACCAACTTTGCAACTGTAGACTGGAAAGGAACTGTCTAATATGGTGGAATTTACAAAGTAGAAATGTACAATTTTCCCTTATTTATGATTTCTCTAGGTGAGTATCTCCAAAAAGGATGCCTCCAGCACTGGAGCAAGGGGAAACACCGCATCTAGAAGCCTCAATTCTGAGTGGCAAGAGCCACCAAGGCATTCTTGGGTCCTTGACAGGCCTTGCCTAGGAGCCTGCAGCTCAGCCCTGAGTGGGTATAAAATGTCAGTGATAGGATGAGGGGTAATGGGTTTAAACTTAAACAGGGAAAGTATCAGGATAGATATAAGGAAGAAGTTCTTTACTGTGAGGGTAGTGAGGTACTGGATCAGGTTGCCCAAAGAAGTGATAAATGCTCCATCCCTGGCAGTGCTCAAGGTTAGGTTGGATGGAGTCTTGGGTGACATGGTGTAGTGTGAGGCATCCCTGCCCATGACAGAGGGCTGGAACTAGATGATCTTAAGGTCCTTTCCAATCCTGACTATTCTATCATTCTGTGACTCATTAGATATAAAGAATATAAGACATTGAAACCTTCTAGGGTGTTTGAAGGAAGGACACAATGTGTATCCCG